AATGACGAGGGCAATGAATGTACAAATGTGCTTTACACAATTGATGTATGTATGGATTGTGCTAAGAGTTGTATGAGCCCCTAATAAAACAATTTAAAAAAAACTCTTTTTTCCTAAGGCCTTATGTGTTTCAGAGATGCGCTGGTGGTGTAGTAGGTTACACGTTGGACTAACTGCAAGGTCAGCAGTTCAAAAGCCACTAGCCCTCCAAGGGAGACAGATGATGTCTCCTCCTGTAAAGAGTTAATGGCCTAGAAATCAAAATATAAAATGTTTCAATAATTTAAAGAAACACCAAACTATTGGTCTGTAAACTATTATCTTAAGCAAGTAAGTCACCCAACCACAGCTGTATAACCCCCAATTTCTTTCAAACCAAAGAACTCCAAGGGAAGACGTGACCAACATAGAAATCTCAGTAATCCAACAAGTCTAGGCACAAAGAAACGATCACAGAGTGAAATCAATGAATACCAGTTATTTACACTAAGGAGTTAACCATAGCAAGAATTCTTAAAATTAACCAATAATATTGTGTATGTATACACCATACTTACCCACCCCAAATTAGCAAAAAAACATTTTAAGTAGGAAAAATTATCAAATTAAATTTTATCTCACCCCTTTGTAGAGGGTTTAGACAGCCACTTTCTAAGTTATTAATACCCTCGAGAAGTTACTGGCTGAACATGCTTACCCAAATAAAAGGTTTACAAAAAAGTGTGTAACCGGTTCTCTGTCTCATAGTCAACAAGATTCTCTCATGACTGGTGTCTTTCCTGAGTTAAGTGTATGTAAATAATACAACAAAAGCTGACATGGAAATCAGAACTCACATCCAAAACTAAAATAAATGATGCTACAAATACCCCCAAAACCAAATCCACTGCCAAGTCTATTCTGGCTCATAGGGACCCTATAGGACAAAACTAAACTGCAGCTTTAGGATTTCGGATGCTGAGAGCAAAAGGAGTCCTTTTTCTCAAGAGGAATAGCTGGTGGGTTGAAACTGCTGACCTTACAGTTGGCAGCAGCCCAATACATAACCTAGTAGTACAAACAAAATTAACTTTCTTAAAGATAAAACTAAGCCTACCTACTTTATGGGTTGAAATATTATATAAAAGCACATCAGAGCTTGAACTTAATAGATAGCTAATACTCACCACACCACTGCAAGACTTTGTTTTCACATCCAGTTTCACCAACCCAAAACCTTTATACATAAGTACAGATAAAAAAGCAAAGTGATTCACTTGTATAAAAGATGTAAATCAATAGTTAAGCATACATATAAAAATATCCCATATGTTCGGAAGGGAATATAATGTGTACCCCAGCCTGTATGACCCAAAGATGACAATAACAAAATACAAATGTAACTAAGGAAAAAGTATCGGAATTTAAATTGTGAACGCCCAATTTGCAGAAGGCTATGGAGGACAGAGTAGAAAGTGAGATCAAACAGATCTCCTCTAGCTATAGGCAAGAGACTCAAACAGCTTCACTATCAGAGATTACTGTAAACTTGATTATGGTGGATCAAACATGATATAATTTGATACTTGGCATTATTTTTGACCCAACCAGGCTCAAGCATTTCTTGCTTGTTATGAGAAATTTACTCTTTTTAAATATTAATGATGGTCTTTTCTTTCTTACTATTTGTATTTTTATCTTTATATTATTATTATTTTCCTCTTGCTCTTGTTTTTAGTTTTTGTTGGGTTTCCCAGTTTGTGAAGCACAGGAGTGGATGCAGACACTAACTGATGCAATGATTTATTGGGGATGTGGAGATTGAGGGATTTGGGAAGCAAACAATGACTATGCGGCGGGCACTAGAACTGATTGTAACGATGAATATACTACTCATTTTAAAAGTGATTTAACCATGGAAATGTATATGTGAATGCTATGTTAAGAAAACTATTAAAAAGAAACCAAATTTGAGCAATGGTTACCTTGGATGAAGGGGAAAAGGAGTATTGAGTTTATATCAATAATAATGGAGCGATTTGGAAAAGGCTATCAATAATGGCTGTACAACAGGAAGAGTATATATAATCAATGGCATTGAATTATACAGGTAGAAGTTGTAGAATTGGTGAATGTTTTGTTGTATCTATTTTTGCCACAATTAGAAAAAATATCTGGTAACTAGTACAAGGAAGAAAATGTTCTAGAACTGAATATAGTGACAATTATACAACTCTTCTTGCTATGATTGAATTATTGAATTGTATGACGTGGATAAAGTTTAAAAATGTGTGCTAGCACAGAAAACATGGATGAACAGCTTATGAATTTGTGCTATATAAACTTGTCAAGGGCAGATCACCTTGATACAGTTTTGTCCAGTGTTTTGGTGTACAATCAGCAACAGCAGCAAAAACCTTTCAAACCCATCATGAAACCTAAGTCTCCGACCAGAAAAGCTCTTCAGAAAGGCTAATTGTTTATCATAATATAGATTTTAAAACATCTATCCCAAAGGGATATCACCAATAATTTGGAGGGGAGAGGGGTTGTTAATGCTGAACAAAATTTTTAAAGAGGACTCAAGGTCACTTGTAAAGACCTTTAAACTTTTGAAGAGCAGTATATTTATTTGCTGGTCAGCCAAGGCCTAAGCTATAACTAGAGGAAATAAAAGTCATTTTTCACTTAACCTTTAAGGTTAAAATTCTTGAGCTATGCTTCATTTAAAAAAAAATGTGGAAAGCTGGAGTAGAGGATGATGTGACTAAATTACTCATTGAACAGAAATCCAGAATGATCTGATTCAAGAGTACAGCAAGATATTTAGTTTGATGAGACTGTACATTTCCCAAGCTGATCGAAACAAATATTTTCATTTCTGATTCGATTTTTAAGAACGTTCTTACCAAATCCTTTGTTGAAAATATCTCTGGCAGCTTTGCCAAGGTCGGCATATGATGGAGGGATGCACATTGCTGTTGAGAAGAAACATTCCAGTGTTAATGTTCCTGTTCCTCAACCTTCTGTCCAGTTGTGACCAACTGTAAATATCTTTACATCCACACAGTTCAATTTGTTGGAGGTGAGTTTTTTTATTCTACCAGGAACTACGTACTCTAAAGACCCATGAAGTTATCATCAAGAAATGCTTATTTCTAAAGTGGACAATCACGGTTAGTGACTACAAACTTGAAAAACTCCAAGAATAGAGAAACGGGATTTCTATTTCTGAATGTACAAAGCCTGCAACCCCACCTCCACGGACTGGACTGGCACAATCAAACACTGATATGCAGCTCCCCAAAATCATTGAGGTATGATGATTTAACCGCGTGAGATAAAATCAAAACTAAGTTCTCTCCCCTGATATCTCTCAGTATGCTTACAGATGTCAAAACGCAACATTCCTAAGTGGGGAGGGAAAAGGGAATTTCACACACGGTAACTTAAATATTGAAACTTAAGAAAAATACGCCCATCTAAGTTTCACTCTACCAACTATCAAATAGCACTTAAGGCATATGAATGACGGTCAAGTTTGCCAGTGCAGGGCGGCTTAAGGGCAAGCAATCTGAGCGCCTTCCACCAGCTCATTCATTCCACAAAGCACGTCCACGCCCTTAGGAGCACACGTAATGACCTTGCACTCTCAGCAGAGGAATTACTACTTCCTCGAGCAAACTGATTCCTGCAAAGGTACCAACCCGCTAACCACGTTATGCACCGTACGCTTAAGGTGAATGTGGTCACAGACCGCTCCCTGGGGCCTCGAATCTCCGTCCAGCCCCTGCTCCGCACGCCGGGTTACTCACTCCCGCAGCGCCCGAGCGCCTAAGCCCCGCGGGGGCGGGAGGGGGAGTTGGTGGCTGGGCTCCGAGCCCCGGGCGCTCCAGGGCCCACCCCGCAGAGATCGCGGCTCTACTTACGCCGCTCGCAGCTCTGCCCGTAGGTCGCCATGGCGAGACAGGGAGGAGTGTCCTGCGGGAGTGACAAGAAAGTAGTCAGCTGGGGTTGAAAGCGAGCAAAGGGGCCAGGTGGGGACCTCTGACAGGAGGGGCAAGGGGCCGAAGGGCAGCGCGGCCATCTTAGGGAGCCAGGGCCGACCCCGAGTCCGGCTCAGGCCCTCTGCTGGGCCGCTGCGGCCTCGGCCCCCGAGTCAGCCTGAGGAGGGCATGGGGGTACCTGGTGATGCCCCGAGGGCAGCCGCCGCGCTGCTCCGCTAGCAGCTCAGGCCACTCGACTCGCGCAAAGCCGCGCTGCAGCTGCCGCGGCTGGAGGGCGAAGTGAAGGAGACACCGTTCCGCCCGCCGCAGCCCCGTCCTACCCCAGCCAGGACCCCGCCACTACCCTGAGGACTGTCTACTGCGCCTGTCCCCGCCGCGCCGCCCGCTGCCCACGCCAACCTGCTCTGCAGCGGCCATGTGGCCCGAGGGCACCCCCGCCCCCGGGGTTGGGGCCTGCTCCGTCCGTTGGCGGGGGCCGCGAAGGCAGAAGCCGCCTGGCCTCGGGTCAGGCAGGGACGAGGGCAGCCCCGAGGTGAGGGGGCGGGGAACGGCGGAAGTCGCGCGGCAGGGGCCGCGCGGGCTGGGGGGTGGGGCGCAGGCGCCGTGCGCTCCGCGGGGGCGGGGCTTCGGGCGGTCCCGCAGCGAGCGGAGCGGGGCGTGCTGGGGTGTGGCAGTGCGCTCGCCGTACAGGATTCGTGGGAGGTCATGCACTGCCTCGGCGGGCAAGGAGGCTGCCCGACAGAAGATTTTCCCCATATTGGGCACCAGGGAGGAATCCGTGAGTGTGATCCAGGAAATGTAGGGTGCACTTCTGAAGGACATGGACAGAAATGGAGAGACAGGCGCTACCTCCAGTCCTCCCTCTTCCCTTCGTTTGTCCGCCTCCCGGTCCAGGCTGATCGCCATATTGAACTTGACTCTGCTTTGGAAGCTCTGGTGACGGCCTCTCCTTGAACAAGCTTACACATACCCCATTGTTCTGCGTCTCCTTTGCCCCTCCTTCCCTCAGGAATGAGCTGGCTTCACACAAGCACAAAACAGTAGCCATTTTGGAGAGGGCGAGGCTGCTGGGGCCCCCTCAGCCTCCACAGGATGAGACCAAAACCCAAACCAAACCGTGTTGCAAATCCAGTCGGCTCTTGGCGACCTCGGGTGTTACAGACTAGAACTGCTCCTTCGTTTTCTTGGCTGAAATCTCTGTAAAAGCCGATCTCTATAGTTAATCACCTACAAATTAATTCTAAAAAAAACAAAACACTACTACCAAGTCAATTACGACTCACATCGACCATATATGACAGAGTAAAACGGCTCCCCGGTGGTTCCCAGGTGGTTATTCTTTAAGGGGACAGACAGGCTCATCTTTCTCCCACTGAGCGAGTGGTAGGTTTAAGCCAACTACTATCCTGCTATCAAGTCCAACTCACAGCTCCGTAAAGTAGAGATTAGCATCCAATCCCAGCTGTGGGCCGATACACCATCTCCCAGAAAAATCAAACCAATCCTAAGGCTACTGACTCGGTTCTAATTGATCGTCACCCCTATAAAGAATTCCTAAGGGTATATTAATCTACTAGGGCAGACAGTCTCATCAACTGGCCTTCCTGTTAACAGCCCAATGGTTAATCTGAGCACCACCAGGCTCAGGAAAAAAGCAGTCGTCTCTACTAAACTAGTCACCTGATTACTTGCTGTGGGGCTTATTAAAATGAATTATCTGTAGAAATTAACTCCCAGAGAACACCACTCTGCCTGAGGCTTCACCCTGCAAACCCAAGAAATGCACACCATACCTAACAGCCAAGAAGATGTACAGCTAAACAGAGTCCTGACAATTTATTAGAGTCAGATTCCATATAGCCATAGCTATAGACATATGACAGATTTGAAATATTAGAAATATGGCAGATTCAGTTCCAGACCATGACAATAAAGTTAATATCATAATAAAATGAGTCACATGAATTTTTTTTGTTTCCCAGTACATATAAAGTCAGAATTGACTCCATGACAGTGGGCTTAGGTTTATTCTAAATATGAAAAAATATTGTCAAAAGTTTGAAATACTGTGAGAATTACCAGCATATGACAGACATGAAGTGAGCACAGGTTGTTGAAAAGTGGTGCCAGTAGATTTGTTTGATAGTGTTGCCATAAACCTTCATTTTGTAAAAAAATCAATATCTATGAAATGCAATAAAATTAGGTCCACCTGTAAATATATCTGCATGCTTACATCCAAGGCCCTATACATCAAAAATGCAGAAGAAGTGATGCCTTTGAATTATTGTGTTGGTGAAGAATACAAAAAGTATCATGTACAGTATTACCAGAGCAAACCATCTGTTTTGGAAGAAATATAGTTAGATTGTTCCATAGACGTGAGTATGGTGAGGCTTAGTCTCTTATAATTTGGACACGCTACCAGGAGAAATGAGTCACTGGAAAAGGACACCATGCTTGGTAAAGTTGAGGGCCAATGAGAAGAAGGCCCTCACGGAGATGGATTGACTGGCTGCAACAACGGGCCCAAACATAACAACAGTGGGGATGGCCCGGGACCTGGAGGTGTCTCGTTCTGTTGTACGTGGGGGTCTATGAGTTGGAACTGCCTCCAAGGCACCTAGTAACATTACCTTCAACACGATGGATTGACATAGGGCTGCAGTCTGCAGTGGCCTCAAGGGCTGTGAGGATGGTGCAGGACCAGACTGTCTCATTCTGTTGTACATAGGGTCGTAATGAATCAATTGATTCAATGACACCTAACAATATACATCAAAGCAGTTTTGGTAGCAGCCACGAACTATACAGCAACTACCTTGTTTCACCCACAGGGGAAGCAAAGTTCTACTTTGAGACACAATTCTTACTTTCACGATATTTACATTCAAGTGTATGTAGGAATGTCAAGAACTGCTCAGGGTCTGATATGTCATGCACTTGAAGTTAACAAGTTAGAACAGCTGAGCTTAAGGACCATGACTGCTAACAAACCTTCAAGGAACCCTGGAGGTACAGTGTTTGGTAAGCAGCGGACGGCTAACGGCAGGTTGAACTCACCAGCCACTCTGTAGGAGAAAGATGAGGCAGCCTGCTTCCTTCAAGATTTACAGCCTCAGAAATCCTCCGGAGCAATTCTTCTCAGTTTATAGTGTCACCAGGGTTGGAGTTTACTCAGCTGCAGTGGGTACAAACCTGCTAGCCTTTGCCTCAGAGGTAGACTTCTCAGGAAACAAAATCTGTAGTCTGTCACAGAGAAAGGTACTACCTTTTAAGTCGGTTGCTATACAAATAACATAAATAAACTTGAAAAGACAGCCTGAGGCAAAAACTGTCACTGATGTGTAGAAATACCATGAAGAATGGTTCCCCAACAAGAGATAGGAAATAGAAAAAAAGAGCTGCATGTACAGTGATACCCTACAAGTACAGAAAACTGTCAGAAAAGACATTACACTAAATTTTTACTTATCCAAACTTAAAAAAACCTAAAATGTAACCAATGTCACCAGACAATTTGTGTAAAAATTGTTAAATGGGATCCTAAGCTACTGAGTAAACCTTCACTGAAAATACACTAAAGTATTGTTTTTTAAAAAATTAAACTAAAATTGACAACCAGTAGATAGGAAGACAAAATTCTAGAGACACATGCCAAGTTATAGAAATGCTTGAAGTAGCAATACTTGTTTGGGAACCAGAAAACATTAAGAAACGTTGAAATGACTTATGGGGAAAGTTGAGAGATTAAAGATGGCTGGAGCCCAATTCTGATGGTCCAGGAAACATGGAGCAACATTTCTGACTTGAGCTGGGAAGAAAAAGGTTCCATTTACTATTGAAGGTCTATTAAAAAAAGGAGGTCTGAGAGGAAAGAAGGTGATTCAATTTCAGATAAGGTAACTATGAAGAGCCAGAGGCCACAACTAAGTGGCATTGTCCCCCATGTAGTTAGGAAGCCTAAGAGCCAGGTCTGGTTAAAAGACATTGATGTAGACCTTTTAATTTAATTATGACTAACCGTGAGTATAATTAAAGTCAATGAAGATAATATCTTAGTTATCTAGTGCTGCTACAGCAGAATTACCACAAGTTGATGGTTTTAACAAATTTATTTTCTCTCAGTTTAGGAAGCCACATGTCTTCATTCAGAAGACTAGCTCTAGAGGAAGGTCCTTGTCTCAACATTTGTGGATCTGGTGCTTCACGAAGATTTTCATAAATCTTGGCATCTGTCTTTCCCAGAGCCTAGGAGGTTCTCAGCACATCCTACTTTGGTGAGTAGGGCCTGGGACCTTAACTTGCTGGCAGCCATCTAACATCCAAATATTGGCCTCTTCGCATCTGGAGCAAAGGAGGAGGAGGAAAAGCAAAGACTCAAGGAAACAATTAGTCCAAAGTACTAGCAGATCACATAAACCATAACCTCCAGCCTGAGAAGATGAAAACTGGATGGTGCTGGCTACCACTACTGAGCACTCATGTAGGGACTGCAACAGAAGATCAAAAACAGAGAGGGAGAAAAATGTAGAACAAAACTCAGTCATATAAAGGCCAGACTTAACTGTTCTGATAGAGACTGATGTGACCCCCTAGACTATGGTCCTTCGACCACCTTTACCCCTAAAACTGAACCCACTCACTGAACAAGAAACAGGCCTATAAAGTAAACAACAACAAATAGAAAGGGGAAACTCAGAGGACATGGTAAGAGTGCTGTTACATTGAAGAGATTGCAACTGATATCACAAAGCGTATATAAATTACAGAAAGGGAAATTATATGCTCCGTACACTTACACCCAGACCACAATAAAATGTTCAAAAATAATGAATTTGAGGAAATATGAGGCAACTTCCAAAAGTTTGTGGAACTTTCCTGTTGTCTTTTAATTCAAGTTTTCTTTTTTTGGTTGGATACAGTGTATTGACGGTCCATGACAAGGGTGGGCTCTCTAAGCCCCTCCCCTTCTTCAGGGGGTCTGAATGTAAACTTAAGATGATGGGATATTCTCAGTGTCTTGGGGGGTCAAGCTGTGGCAAAGACTATCTCTTCCATTAGTGCTGGTGGTCCAGGGGGAGGGGAGCTTTTGGGGACCTTGGGGGCCATAGGTCCACCACTCTGTTGGTGTAGTCAAATTCATTGTCATACCAGGTGATAAAGTTTATTGTGCCAACCTGGCCAATAAACATGTGCGGTTAATGAAAGGACGGAGAGATAAATGGCTCAGTGAGCCTCGCTTTTCTAGTTGTCGGGTCTCTTGCTTTGTGATGGTCGGACC